AATACAAAACTTGTAGATAAACATGAGTGCTTCATTCCTAAATTATTTTCGAGTATACAGGGTGGCCCAATAAGTAGTGGTGACACAAAGCTATGTTTTTTTAAATGACTAGCCCTGTATATTATGACATTTCTGGATTCTGCGGAAAATTTTAGACATATTTCATGTACAATGTCAACTGTTTCGGAAGTATTGACAGTTTAAAATGGGGTTCCTCCCTCCTATATAAACATCTTAATTCAGATTTACTGTAACGCTTCAGCTAAAGTAAAATGCTCTGACGGACTTTCAGACCCAATTGGAATAAGTGAAGGCGTACTTCAGGGAGAACCACTATCCCCTTTTCTGTTTTTACTGTTTCTCTCTGATATCATACAGTTTTTTGAGGGTAAGGGAGCTAGGCTAATTAATATTGATGGTGTTAATGAACTTTTTATGCTGCTCTATTGTGACGACCTAATTGTTTTCGGGCTTTCAGAACGAGATCTACAATGCAACCTGAATATCCTGGCTGAGTATGTACAGGAGAACAATTTGGCAGTCAATGTTGCAAAGTCCAAAATAATGTGTTTCAGGAGAGGGGGTTTTCAAGCTAGTTACACCAAAAGATTTATTTTCAAAAACGAACCCCTTGAAATTGTCAATGAATATACATACCTTGGAGTCACTTTCACTGCATCTTCTAAATTTCGAATTATGGCAGACAAATCTGTCTCAAAATGCAAACAGGCCATTGGCGCGGCAGTTTCACATCTATCAAAGTCTAAATCATTTTCAATTACTTCAAGACTTAAAATATTTGAAACGTGTGTACTTAACATAATGTCTGGGTCCGCACCCATCTGGGCCCTAAGATATCTAGACGTCCTTGAACAGATACAAACATCATTTCTCAAAAAATCTCTTTCCCTGCCTAAAAGCACCTCTTCAGCCATACTTCGCCTGGAGTTTGGCGTTTCTCCTATAGCGACAACTATACTTAAATGGACTCTCAACTTTCTCAAAAGGTTGCTCTCTATGGATGAAAGCAGATTACCCTTAATTTGCCTTAAAAGGCAACTACAGCTTATCGACTCGCCGCTAGCATATAACTGGCTATCGCAACTCAAATTGGTACTTACTGGAACAGGTTTTGATAATATTTTGATTAATAATTTAACACCAAGATTTGTAACTAGACGAAAAATCGATCAAATAATTGACAAATACCGAGAGCTATCCTTTCGGAAAGATATTGCTTTGGCTAGAGATTCCAGTTATATGACCTTTTATCCATTTTTATCAATAACAAAAAATCCAGCTACTTATTTAACATTTAGAGTACAAACATTTGTTTTGAAACTCATAGCGCAAACAAGACTTGCCAACAAATACCTATGTGCTTTTACCTTTAATTCTATCCTCTATAAACTTGACCCCCGCATAATATGTACAGTTTGTAACACCTCTGAACTAGAGACATTAGACCACATTCTTTTCAGATGTCCAATGTATAGAGAAGTCAGACCATTAACATGGTCGAGCCCTGACTCATTTCTCAATTTACTTGAAACCTTAGCTCCAGTATCTGCCAAAACATTTGCTTCCACCATAATGTCATTCCTCAGGCTTCGATCCTTTTTGATATCGCAGGATTAGAATTTGTTAGAAATATCAACTTTCTCTCTTTTTTTTGTTGTATAGACCCCTTCCATAGGTACTTTTATTAGGCACCAAAATGTGAACCCTTCTGGTTTTTAGTTTATACATAGAAATACAAGTAACTTTATCTTTCGCTTTGTAATTAGATTAAGATTATTTAGATTATTATTATTTTTTTGTTCGTTTCTAATAACAAATACGTATCCAAATTCAAAACAAATTATATTCCCTCCTTTATAAGTTTATTTTTGCTTTTGTAATTCAAACCATTACGTTTACTAGATTTAGAGCACTCAGTGTTATAGAAAATACTTTCTGGAAACAATAAAAATTGAATTGAATTGAATTGAATTGACACAAGGCTATGTTTTTTTAAATGACTAGCCCTGTATATTATGACATTTCTGGATTCTGCGGAAAATTTTAGACATATTTCATGTACAATGTCAACTGTTTCGGAAGTATTGACAGTTTAAAATTGACTTTTTTGCATCTTTGACAGACTGTAAAACCGAAATTAATTTTAGAAGAAAACCAATTTTACATTCCTATCTTAGATTTCCATAAGCTATCATTTGACACCAACTTTAAATTTGACCGAAGATTATAAATTTAAGCGGAATTTTTAATCATGGATTAAATTCAAAGTTGATGTCAAATGATGCCGGTGAAACGAGCGTGCGGAAAAGTATAGTGTTCCACACACATTTTAGGTCATGAAAGTATCACTTTTCCGTACTAGTGCTTTTCCGTTATTTTTTGATACAATTTTTTGAAACAATTTTTCGCGTTCCCAGTTTTTCGGTGATTCGTCACCGTATCAATGTTAAGGCAAAAGCGAGGGCAAAAGGAACCAGCGTTGCCGTATTTTCGAGTGTGCTTCAGCGAATGCATCGCTTGGCCCTTTAAATTTTTAATACATTTTTTTTATGAAAACTAATAACAAACGGTGAAAATTAATAATATAAGTCCAACGCTGACATGTATTAGTATTAATACTTATTTATTGAATAATATTTTTTTTCTACTGACATTTCATAATACGCTATTAAACGATTAAAATCTGTATCATAATGAACTTCATTACGATACCGATTTTCATTATAATACTCATTTTTAATATTATACAATGTTGATAGATGGCAGCACTAGTTAAGATATTAAACATTTTAAACGGTAATTTTGCGTAAAACAATTATTTTGATAACTATAAAAAAGACTCTGAATTGTTTAAAAGTTACCTAAAGTTTGGGACAAAGAATAATTATTATGGAAATCATGAATGATAAGGAAGAATTTTTACTTTTTTCATTATTATACATTGTCAATAGATGGCGCCACCAGTTAAAAAAAATTGATTTTTTTTTTTTTTTAATGTTGGCAGCACTCTGTTTATAGCTTTTCCATGGTGATTTAGCGAAAAACAATAATTTTATTAAAAAAATACTTCGAGTTGTTATTAAAAGTTACCTAATGTTTGGGATAAGGCATTAATATGGAAATATTGAGTGATAACACTGATAACGAAGAATTTTCACTAACACCTCCAGAAATTACAGAAAGGACGACAAATGCAGGTAATATTATACTACCGGACAAGTCCAAGAAAATTTACGAAAAATTATATAGACAATTTATGGATTGGAAACGCCAAAAACACATCGTCCTTCTCAGAAAATGTTTTAATAGTATATTTTGGACAATTACAACAAAAAATGAAACCTTCAACTGCACGGATTACTCAATAATAAAATCTCTATTCAAAGTTGAGCATAATGTTGACATATCTAAATATAAGTTTTATCAATGGCAGTAGAAAAAATAGTGTATGTAACTCTCATGTAATGGCCATTAATACACTCGCATGTTATATACGAAACTCGCCTGCGGCTCGTTTCGTATCCTACAACATGCTCGTGTATTAATGGCTATCATTACATGATCATTGCATAATATACTATTTCACCACATTTATTTAATAATAAATAATATTTAATGATAATATTTTATGTATTTTTTCTTTATATGTAGGTACTTATATGTTTTTTTATTTAAGAATATAATTACTGGTAACCTTCTACTTTTGTCGGAAAAATATTTGTAAAAAAAGGGATACCTGAACCCAGTATAGTTAAGAAATATCGATTACCAATAAAAATTACATTTTTTGTCCGACTGTCGATATGCCCCAATATTTTTGTCCGACACTTAGATTTGGTTGTAAATAAAATTGTTGCAGGAAATTGACATCTTTGGCGCATCCGACTGCGCATATGCCCCGTGAAAATTGTCCGACAAGGTTACCACGTTATTGTAAAATATTTTTATGCCAGATTCTGTTCAAATCAGCCGTGTGGTAATAAAAAAAAAAATCCCATAAATTTGACATATTCGTGTCCGACGCGTCGAATGCCCCAATATTTTTGTCCAACACATTTTTTTTCGTTGTTTATGTAATAAAAACTATTGATTAAAATAAAATTACCAATGTGGTCATAAATTTTTTTCTTGCATAAAATCGACAACTTCGTGACAGCTTGACAGACAAACGCCCCACTACCATAATGCGCTGAGCTCAAAATTTGTCCGACTTCACCCAAATAGCAACAAAAAGTTTCGACGGTGTGGTCATAAATAATAAATTTAGATCTGGGCCCAAGAACTATTAGTTTGACGATTAATATGTGTTTTGAAAGAACCTGTAATTGACAGAAATCTTTAAACACGTTCGCGACGTAGCCGATTTCGGGTGTCTTAATGCACAGCCGTATTTTATTTTATTTTTGTTCAACATGTGAATATTTGTGTTCAATCAAGTGTTATATACTTGTTTTGAGTTTTTTTGCAATTTTTTGTTACTTTTCAAAATGTACCACCGGTGGTACATGACGGCTGTGACTAATATTTGTTTCTCAGGGACGTGGTGTACCACCGGTGACCACCATGTAAAAGGCATGTTATTAGAAGTTTTTATCAGTTAGAATTTAATTAAGTAATGTAAATCTATATACTGGGTGTTGCCTGAATAAAAAAAAAATATTAAAACTATTACTAAAATTCTGTTATTTTAGTAGGTAGACCAAAATCATAGAAATCAATGTAAGAAATGTCCGATTTAGAACCGCATGTACCACGGGTCATGTACCACCTTTACGTACAGCCGTAATTTGTTTTCTAAGCTTTCTATGCAGCCGTCGCGTTTTTAAATAGGATTAGATTTGCAGGGTATGGTGTACCACATGTGGTACATGACGGTTGCTGGGATCAGTCGTCATGTGCCACCGGTGGCGCATGACGTCGCGAACGTGTTAAAATAAAATTCAAGTTTTGTAGTTTGTATTTATAATGTAAAATCTTACATGTCTCATCGGAGCGGGAGGCGGAGGCCCCCTGGTCCTCGTATCGCTCGGATTGGTCAGTTGCCTCTTCAACTGGTCCTGAACGCTGCCAAAGTTCTTCGGTGTCGCCGTCACCTTAGCACTACCTTCAGACTCGCTGTTGTTATTACTGGAAGTATTCAGTGTGGAAGCACCGGGCCGGCCAGTGGCCTTCAATTTGGGCATGCCTCCGGCAAATAGTCCTGCCAAGGGCATTCCGCTCGGAGCGGTACTGTTGGAACTGGAGTTTGAGCTGGTGGTTTGTTGGGAGGCCGCACTGTTGCCCGTTTTGCCTAGAATTTTTCAATTAATATGAAAATATCAAATGAATAATGAATGAAAGACATTAGTTGTTCAATTTTGTCATTTGATGTTCTTGTCATTGCATATCATCACGCTGTGTCATCACTTTGTTCATGTTATGTCAAGTTCTTTATATAATAAAATCTAATAGCTCAATGAATAAAACCAAAACATACCTGGTATCATTGGTGCACTTTTATCGACAGTGACGGTCTTTTTCAGTTTCGCACCCCTGCCTGATAGAAATGAGCAAAGCGCCTCTATCATCGGCTCCACCTTTGCCGCTCAGTTTTGGTAGACCGCCAAAAGACGGTGCTGGAGGAGGGCCGGGTGGCGGCGGTGGCCCTGGGGGCGGTGGAGGAGGCGGAGGCATTATTTCTTAAACTGAAATTAAATTCAAAAAAACATATTGAATTATTACTTACTTAACAGTTTTTAAATCTCAAAGAACAAATCCTACTGTTCAATTATCAAAATATGGACAAGTGAAGAATTTATTAGAGTTTGTTGGACAAAACAATGAAAAATAAAAAGTGCTTTCTTCAAATTGTGGTATAACAACAACAAAAATTGGAAATTGCAATGCAATCTCCAATTTCACTTCAATACAGAAAAAAAACTTTAAAAATGATTAATAAATCGCCTTTCAAAGCTTCTGTCGCCATGTCCTTGTACTGGGCGATAGTTCAGTTGTTGACCTTTACAAGCACCTCAAAGTATCTAAAAGCAAGGAATATAACGTGATAACGTTTGCGAAACACAATGCCAAATTGGAGGAGATTATAAAGGATCTCGATATATTGTCAAACCAATTCACAAAAAAGGACTTTGTCATAATCACTGGTGGCTTACAGGACGCACTACAGGGTAGGCATATTAGTAATAAAGAACTGGAGTAAAACACACAGTCTATCTTCACTCTTTATTTTACAAAAATAATCAGTTGGAAGGGGGGTTGTACATGTTTCGGATCTATCATAGATCCATCATCAGCATAAGTTCTACAAGTTACAAAAATATGGGAGTTATGGCGAGGGGCTGGGGTGTATACATCAAAAACTTACCAAATGGCACAGGGAAAATATGGTCATATACGACATGCCTAAGTATAATAATTATACATAAAAATATAAGTGTTCATGCTGTTATCAGCATAAAGTTGGTGGCTAAAGCCGCATCCAACACAGAACATATTTACAAAACTGGAATAGAGGAAGCTTGTGAGTACGATTTCAAAAATTACGTCAAAGTTTCAACTTACCAAAGGTGAAGATTGAAAAAATTATTTTATTAACATTAGAAAAATAGGACTGCCACACAAACACAGAATATGCCTATAGGAGGCGGAATTCTGGACGCTCATCTGTACTTCTGGATGTTAGTGGGTGTTAGCTTTTAGTTGTTAATCAAATTTCAAAAATTTACTTAATGAAAAATCGTGCTGTCTGCACGAGGAGTAAGAATGTAATGGAGATGAGGAAGAAGATGGTGGCAGGAAATTAGTAAAATTTGCTGCATAAAAAACCTGACAATTCCAAAAATCAAACCAAGTAGCTCCCTCTTACGACCAAAAGCCAAACAATCATAGTTGGATACTAAGTTACACATCCAAAAACAATAAAATATGTTGTAAGCAATAATGAGTGTGACAAATTAAACTAAATTAAATTGAATAATATCATTACAAAAGGGATAATCAGAGTTTGACTATTGAATATTAAATTTTATATTTTTAAAAGGTTCATAAAAGGAATTATACTCCGGTGGGTAGCGTCACCTAACACGAACAGACAAAGGTGCAAGCGGTGGTTGAATTTGTCTACTAGGGAACCCTACAAAAACTAGCGTGGTACCGCTGTGACAGGTATATAGATGGCGGCGCCCAGGACTGAAACCAAGAAGAAATCTTGAAAGAAAAGAAGTAAAAGAGTGAGGTTAAACATTGTTGTTATTGACCAAATATGAATTTAGGTTGAAGTAAAGGAGAAACCAAGAGAATTGAAAAACTTCAAGCAGGAAAAATGGATTTGATCATTCACACAGGTTTTTTGAGAATTGCGCAAGGCTTTGTTGATTTCCAGGATTTCGAGTAAGTTCATAATGCGTCCCTTTTCACAGTTGTGTAAAACTACAACATCTTTTTCAGGGTCGAAAGAGTGTTTTTCTTTAAGAATGTGGTCCGAAAAGCTAGATTTACTCTGGATAAGGTCTATAGGAACTGAAGAATGTTTTCCAATTTCTCTAACATGTTCGTTGACTCTTAGGGATATCCTTCTGCCGCACTGGCCAACATAACAGACAGTACAACCAGGCTGTGAGCAGTTTAAACAATATACTCCCGATTTATCCAATAAGGGAATTCTGTCTTTTGAATTAACTATAGAAGAGCCAAGGGAGTTTTGGGTTTTGAAACAGATATTAATGTTGTATTTGTGGAATAGACTTTTGATACTATGTGAAATTGGGCCCAAGAAGGGTATGGAGAAGAACTTATTTGTATTGTGGTCTGGTGGTGAAAAAAGATTTTTATTGAGTACTGATTTATTGAAATGTTTGTAGAATAGTTTATTAATAAAATTTGAAGGGTAGCCATTGGCTGTTGCTATTTGTTTAATAATGTTCAACTCTCTGTTAAAGTCCTCTTTAGCCATAGGGATTGAAAAAAGTCTATTGAAAAGGGCCCTTTTCAATAGACTTTTCTCTCTTTCGACCCTGAAAAAGATGTTGTAGTTTTACACAACTGTGAAAAGGGACGCATTATGAACTTACTCGAAATCCTGGAAATCAACAAAGCCTTGCGCAATTCTCAAAAAACCTGTGTGAATGATCAAATCCATTTTTCCTGCTTGAAGTTTTTCAATTCTCTTGGTTTCTCCTTTACTTCAACCTAAATTCATATTTGGTCAATAACAACAATGTTTAACCTCACTCTTTTACTTCTTTTCTTTCAAGATTTCTTCTTGGTTTCAGTCCTGGGCGCCGCCATCTATATACCTGTCACAGCGGTACCACGCTAGTTTTTGTAGGGTTCCCTAGTAGACAAATTCAACCACCGCTTGCACCTTTGTCTGTTCGTGTTAGGTGACGCTACCCACCGGAGTATAATTCCTTTTATGAACCTTTTAAAAATATAAAATTTAATATTCAATAGTCAAACTCTGATTATCCCTTTTGTAATGATATTATTCAATTTAATTTAGTTTAATTTGTCACACTCATTATTGCTTACAACATATTTTATTGTTTTTGGATGTGTAACTTAGTATCCAACTATGATTGTTTGGCTTTTGGTCGTAAGAGGGAGCTACTTGGTTTGATTTCTGGAATTGTCAGGTTTTTTATGCAGCAAATTTTACTAATTTCCTGCCACCATCTTCTTCCTCATCTCCATTACATTCTTACTCCTCGTGCAGACAGCACGATTTTTCATTAAGTAAATTTTTGAAATTTGATTAACAACTAAAAGCTAACACCCACTAACATCCAGAAGTACAGATGAGCGTCCAGAATTCCGCCTCCTATAGGCATATTCTGTGTTTGTGTGGCAGTCCTATTTTTCTAATGTTAATAAAATAATTTTTTCAATCTTCACCTTTGGTAAGTTGAAACTTTGACGTAATTTTTGAAATCGTACTCACAAGCTTCCTCTATTCCAGTTTTGTAAATATGTTCTGTGTTGGATGCGGCTTTAGCCACCAACTTTATGCTGATAACAGCATGAACACTTATATTTTTATGTATAATTATTATACTTAGGCATGTCGTATATGACCATATTTTCCCTGTGCCATTTGGTAAGTTTTTGATGTATACACCCCAGCCCCTCGCCATAACTCCCATATTTTTGTAACTTGTAGAACTTATGCTGATGATGGATCTATGATAGATCCGAAACATGTACAACCCCCCTTCCAACTGATTATTTTTGTAAAATAAAGAGTGAAGATAGACTGTGTGTTTTACTCCAGTTCTTTAACTATTCTCTTCACTGTGAGACATGGACTACTATTTCAAAATATTAGTAATAGTTTATTTGAACTTCTATTAGATGTAGGGCAACGTACAAATATAATGTTTTTATCAATACCTCTCTGGGGCAACAGAGTAGTGCTAAACAAGTTTATAGATAACATTAATATCTCGGTGTATGAGCCGCTTCACAAAGTTGTCAGTTTTATAAATATTAATTCTTTTTTAGATTCTAGTTTCTTCTTCTTTAATAAGGCCTTGGTGTTGAAAAATATGGCAAAAATTAAGATAGCTCAGCGCATTGATTCATTTATTTTTAAGGATATCAATAATATGGAAAATATTATCGTCGGACATCAGAATCATTTTTTACTGTAGATGACGACGACACAAGTGTTAATAAATGTGGAAACCTGAAAATAACTAAAACTGCGGAACTTTCATTATTTTTATTGAATATACAATTTTTGCAAAATAAATCTGATGAACTCTTTGTTTTGTTGGAGAACTTACATATGCCTACATTTATTTTTCTAACAGAACACTGGCTAACAGAGGCTGAATTTTGCTATATTCCAAACTATAGAACCGTGTCAATATATTGTAGAGAAAAGGGGTATGGAGGTACAGTAATTATGGCTCACTGCAATTTTCTAGAAGCCAATATCATACAACCCATTGACCAACATAACGATTTAATCATAGAGAATCATTTTGAGTTTTCACTAGGTTGCATACAAGGTCTAAATATCTACCTTGTTTGCGTATACAGGCCTCCAGCTGGAGATTCAAAACTTTTCCTGCATAATCTTGAATTTCTTTTACATAAATTTCCATTGTCTTCAAAAATTATTCTGGCCGGTGACTTGAATATTAATTTTACAGACATTGAATCTCGAGACACAAAAGCACTTGTTAATCTACTACACTACAAAAAGACAACACTGCGTGCAACGCTTCAAAAGTGCTCCAGGAAAATTAAGTGTTTTAACAGTAATAAAGTGTGATTTTAAACCTCAAAATACTTCCAAGGCATCTCCACAAGGCTGCCCTAGTGGGGTAAGTGCTCAAAATCCCCAAAAACTGTTCGGTTCAATTGATAATTACAATAATTTATGAAAAATGCATATTTAGAGGTCAAACGATCAAGTTTATTTTGAATCGTACCTATGTACTCGAGTACTACAACAGCAGTACGGCTTCAGATTGCAGCGTTGCCGACGTTATTATTTTGTATCAAAAAGGAAACACCATGGAAGAAAATGGCGAAATCTCTATGAACAATCTTCGAGATGTAATTTTGGCTGTACAGAGCAATCTTTTGGACGAAATACAAGGAGTGAAGAACGATATCAAGCAATATAACAGCAACTTATCGGTGGTTAAGGAAGATATTGAAAAATTAAAGCAAGAAA